GGCACCTACAGGCCCCCCGCTGATGGAAGTGACCTCGGCAGACTTTTCCATCACGCTGATCTGCAGGTCTGTCTCTGCTGCAGGAGAAAAATCGACAGAGGTCCCATGGTGCGCGCTGGGCGCTGATCTCCGTGTCGAAGGCTCGCGAACTTCTCTGCTCGCAGGAACCGGCCCAGATGGGATCTCTTGGCACCGGGGGTGGTGAGCAACCGTCATTTAGGCGATAAAAGGCTGTCACTGGCCCCACCTTAGTGACTTAAAATCCACTTCGATGTGGCTTTGGTGCCTGATGCCTCATTTGCCCATTACTGTCCCTGCAAGGGAGTGACCCTCCGGGGGCTGCCCACAGGCCAGGAGGGGGCCTTTCTCCCTCAGCCAGTTGAGTGGGGGTCACACAAACAACATTGGAGTCCTGGCCGTCAGCCCCGGGCCGCAGCTGCTTCTCTGCCCTCTCCGTGCTCCCTCCAGTGGAAGCCGTCGGAAGAGCACGTGGCCAGAGCCTCCTTGGGATCCTTTCATGGCCAGGGAGGGCAAAAGCGATCGTCCGGTCATCCGAGTGTTAATTCAGCTCACAGAGTGCTGGGCGCTTCCCAGGACCCTCTTTCAATCCTCCCGAGCCAGGGTCCGATCTTCCCCTCACAGAGGAGGAGGCTGAGGGTCAGAGAGTTTAGGTGACTTGTTAGAGGACATGCGTCACACGTGTCTCCTCAAGGGGACCTCCCTGAGGCCTCGAGCGCTACGTGCCCATCTGGTGGACCGGGCGGGCGCGGCCACCGCTTATGGGAGGGTCGCCCTGCGGGGCTGGGGCGAGGGGGCTTCCCGGGTGAGGCGCTGTGTGCGTGGGGAGGGGTGTCTGACGGTGGGGGCGGCCTTTCCCTGGTTTCCGCCAGCCTGAGTTGAGTTTCTGCCACACGCAACCCAAGAAGAAGTCTTGCCCAGTACAGAGGATGCCTCACTTGGGATCAGTGACTGTGTTGGGAGCTTGAAGCCGGCTGAGCGGGAGTATTTACACCAGGGAAGGTGGCAAACACTAAAATGGTTTCCTGTCGCTCCCCCAAGTCCTGGAAGGCCAGGGGCCAAACATTTACCAGCCTTCCCCGAGCCAGTCTCCGAAGTGCCAGGCCCACGTGGGAGGACAGACCTGGTGTCTTCAAGCCCCGAGCTCTGACTGCCCGCCTCTGGGGGTCAGGCACAGGGTCCCTCCACCCCGGGCCTTGCAGATCTGCCACTGCATATGGCATTTGGGCAGAAAGCACAAGGACGAGGCTGCCGATCCTCTACGTGTGCATCCCTTCGATTTCTTCTCTCTCAACTCAGCCACTTCTTTTGGTCTTCTGGATTAGGGTTCTTGGAAACAAGGGACAGAATCATCCATCAAACTGACCTAAGCAAAAAAGAGAGATTTATTGGTCCAGGGGCTGGTTTGGCCTCAGGCACAGCTGCATTTGGAAGCTCCAGTGATGGCCTCGGGCCTCAGTTTTTCTCCAGCTCTTGGCTTGGCTCTTCCCTGAAGGCCAGGGGCCCCGGCTAGCTGCTGACCACAGCACAGCGCAGGCGGAAGGGGTTCTCTTCCAATGTCTCCCAGGAGAATTCCGGCTCTCAGTGGTCTGACTTGACTTGCACGCCCACCCCTGGACGGATCCCTGAAGCAGAGGGAGCTGCTTGGACTGGCCACGCCCAATTCTGTGACTTATGCTCTGGGTAAAACTTCAAGAGGTGGAAATTCTTAACCCAAAGGAGGCTTTGATTTGTGATTCTCAGGGTAATTATGATCTGTAATAGCCTCGTTTGCCAGCCTCAAATCTGACCGCGATCTCCCGCTGGACACAGGATCATCCAGAGTCCAAGACACACATGCTGTAAGACATACAGCATACAAACATAACAGCAACAGCTTCACCCTTGAGGCACCACAGGTGCGTCCCCTCTCCACCTGTCCGGAGAGTCGGGCGTGGGCTTCCTGCTGCGGGGTGAGGGATGGGTGTCCCAGGCCGACCCCACTGCCCGCCGGCCCTCCCGCTGGGGTGCACTCACTGGACATGGGCCTGGCTAGGACCCTGAGCAGGCTGCTCGCTCTCTGGGGACCTGACCACGAGCCCAGAACATTCTCCCCATGTGCTAACGTTTTCCTCCGTTCACGTGGGGTCAGCGTCTGTGGCTTCATGCCTGATCTCTGTGGATGTTGGGTGCAGATTTTTTTCCACAGAGGTTCAGGCTCCTAAAATTCCCTTCTTTGGAAGGCAGAGAATCCTGCCGTGAGGGCTCTGTGGCCTCTGGCCATGAATCTCTGAGACTCATTTTTCTCTAATCTGTGAAAGGGGAGCTAACACCCATCTCACACAGTCATGGCAAGGAGTGCTCAAGCGTAGGCTCGGAGAAGGGGCCGGTAAAGGGCAGATGTGGGGACGGAATGTGAGCTTTCCACTCGCAGGAACCCGGCTTGAACTGGACCCTTCACGGGCCGCCCTTCCCTCAGCCTCTGTCTCTCCTTGAGGAGAGTGAGGACGCCGAGCCTCTCCACTGTGGTGTCTGTTTGGGGCCATGCTGTTATTCACGGGATGGACGCGCTTCTTGAAGAGGGTGTCCACTTGTCTGTCCCGCAAATCTTCCGCCTTCTAGCAACGGCATCTCCATGTCCCTGGGGACCGCCACTTCCCGGAGCATCCACTTCCCGGAGCATCCACTTCCCGGAGCATCCTGGCGCTCTGGGTCTCGGTCATGGTGAGGCTGTCAGTCAGAGTGCCACGCTCAAGCCACCAGACCATTTCCCCCGGGGATGTCAATGATTCCGTCAAATGTCTCTTAACAATGCACATACAGAAGTCCAACGTGACCCTCACAGCTTTTTGTATTTTACGACTTAAAGGAAAATAAACCTGTTATATAGATATTAGTAAGACCCATAACTATGCGTAATAATCATATGGGAGGAGGTGAACTCTATGGTAACTCATCCCCAACCACATCTGTTTTTCTCAAAATTATTATTCCCGTAACTGTTAACCAAGTAATTAAAAGTTCAGGAGCTATTATTATTCCTTTTTTTTTTTTCTTTTTGAGAGAGAGTGGTGGGGGAGAGGCAGAGGGAGAAAGAATCCCCAGCAGACTCGCCACTGAGCACGGAACCAGAGCGCCTGGAACGCTGAAATCAAGAGTTGGATGCTCAACCGACTGAGCCGCCCAGGTGCCCCAGGAGCTATTATTCTTTATTCAATCTTTTAAAGTTGCTGCATAAAATTTTAAAAAATGATACAAATGTGCACATTAAACCTGAAAATCCAATTTTAGTTTGCTCCTTGGGAATTTGAACTTGGAACAGACCGACAAGGGCAGAAGAAAGGTTGGCACACTGAGTAAAGAGGTTCGTGCATCCCTGCCCCGGGCTGGCTCCCGTGCTTTCCAGGAGCTGGGCATGCAGCTCGCCCTCCTCTCTGTTGTTAGCCCGGCTCATCCTTCCAGGAAGTTCATCTGTGCAAATGTCGGCCAGAGTTGGCGTTCTGGTCCCTGGCGCTCAGCGAGCCGTGTGCTGTGAGAAGCATTGCTAAGGGTCACTGTGAGCAGCTCTGGGCACACAGGCAGCTACTCAGGGAAGGCAGGCTCCTTCTTACCTGTGGGACGGGGAGACAGTCACCTGGAAAGGTGAGCCCCGCTGTCTGCGAAGCGCCTCACAGGGCCTGGCCCAGGGAGAAGCCGGCACCCCGCTGCTGGCCGGTCCATCAGAGGAGGGCCATTGCAGCTGGGCGTCCGCTCACCATCCGGCCCCTCCCCTGGGAAGGCTGGCCGGTGGCCTGCACGTGGTTCAGGGTGCCCGGAGTGGGCGCTGTACCGGCTCAGATGTCTCCCAGGCAGGGTGACCCAGAATCTCGAGGACACTTTGACGGGTGGGAGTCCAAGCCCAGGGCTCGTGACAAAGGTAGGACGCAGGGCGCGGGGCGGACCTTCCCCTCACGGTGGAAGCAGACTGACGGCCCTGGGGCCTGTGTTCGGAAGATTCCGCATCGGCCTGAAGGCAAGTCCCCGCTCCACTGTCCTGCCGCTGACCACCACATAGGAAGCAGCCAGAGCCGGTGACCAGAGCCCATCTTGTGCGAGGCTGAGCGCTTCCCCGCGGTGGTCTCTGTGGAGTCACATGGGACACGAGGAGCGCCCCTCCCCCCCAGCAACAAGTTGTGAAGACACGGGTGAAGTGATGTTCCCCAGGGACGCCCAGAAGACCCTCGGTGCCTAAGGTTTTCGTCGGGGGCTGGTCACAGAGGCACCCTCTGCCGCTGTGGACGGCGATCCCCACTCCCGGAAGGAGGACAGAGGCTCGGCATAAACAGGGCTCACAGGGATACCAGCAAGTGCCGAAGGAACACCAGACGGAATCCAGCAGCAGCCCAGATGTGAACGCCTTCCCAGACCCGACGGAGCCTCCATCCCAAACCTGGTGAGCGTCCCGGTGAGCCTCTGAGGGCAGGGTCCACACGAAGCCCTTGGGAAGGTGCTGAGACCCAGTCAGGGATGGAGGCTCCAGGGCCACCCTCACAGCCTCGCCACCTGCCCGCCCCAGCCCTCCCCTGCTGTACCCTGTGCTCCTCCCCTCCTCCCCTCCCAGCCCTGGGTGTCTGTGGGGCAAGAACCAGCGAAGGTACCAGGCCCTGGATGCCCTGCCCCGTCGTCAGCACAATTTCCTTCTTCCTCTGCCTTCAGGCCGCACCGCCACCTCCCCTCTCTCCCCCCACCTGCTCTGCTCTTCTCTGTGACGCACCATCTACATACATTGCCATGGGCCTCTCGTTTCTTCCTGACCAGCCCCTGGAATGTCCAGTGAAGCTGTGCATTATAATCCTGAAGATGACCACCACCTCCCCACCCTGCAACACTGAGACGCCTCTGTTCCTTGCCCCGCAAACACCACGCGTAAGCAAAGCCCTGGGCCCCTTCCCTGCCCAGTGTGGCCCCGCTCTCGGGCTGTGATGGGAGAAGAGAAAGCACCCCTGTCCCCAGCCCAGGCTCACCTGATCCCTCGGCCGAGTCGTCGAATTCCACCTGGAAGAAATAGCCGGTGTTCCAGATGTGCAGGCAGCTGGCTGCGGCATAGGAAACCCTGAGAGGCTTCAGCTGCGGGTCGTAGACACTGTCCCTCCAGCGGATGTTGATGGGCGACTGTCGGGTGCCCCCTGGTATGGAGGCCAGGCCCTTCCAGAGGGGGTGCACTGGGGCGGAGAGAAGGAAGAGGAGGCCTTCACTGAGATGTCAGAATTATTAGTGCCTCGGGGGGAGGGAGCAACCCTCACAGACGAGCCCCCAGAGGAGACAGCCCTCGGGAAACTGGCCCAACACGGAGCCCGGGGGCCACCAGGCTGCCCAGCAGGTCTGCCCATGTGTGCGGGGCCCTTGCTCCGTCTCCTCTCCGGACCATCCGCCAACCGACACTCCAGCGCTGCATCCATCAGGTTTTGATCTGTGGTCGTGGTCACGGTGTGGTCACAGGACGTCCGTGCCCACCCACCGGGGAGAGACGTGGCCACCTGTCCTGCAGGCCGCCTTCAGGGCCTGGAAACAATGCCTCAGGATGCTCTGAGCTGTCGCCGGCCTTCTCACCATGGACGGATGGGTGACAACGGCCTTGGGGGCCGGCGTAACTGCCTGGACTTTTGTCCCGGCTTCCTCCTGCTCTAATTCGCTGTTGTACCAGCAGCCTGGGGTCTTCCATGGTCGGCTCTCTCCCCAAAGCCCCCCTGAGCTGGCACAGGTCATGACTGTGTCTGATGCGAAGCGACCTTTAACACACGGAACAGCCTCCTGAACCACGCCCGCCCCCGTCCCTCCATCAGGGAGGCCAGCACGGAGCGGGGCTGCACGCAGAACTCGCCAGTGGCTGGATGTCGCGGAGGTTGTCCTTGTCCCACCAGAGACTGAACTTGCCCAACACAGAGGTGCACAGTGGGGAGGAGGGCGTATTCTTAGGTTACATTTGTGGAGTGGCGCGAAGGGGCCGCCAACCCCATGGAACATAGTCTCTGCCCCCAAGTAAAAGGGCACGGCTAAAGATGTCCATCGACAGATGAATGGATAAAGAAGATGTGGTATATCTATACAATGGAATATTATGCAGCCATCAAAAGGAGTGATAGCTTGCCATTTGCAACGACCTGGATGGAACTGGAGGGTGTTGTGCTGAGTGAAATAAGTCAATCAGAGAAAGACATGTATCATATGACCTCACTGATACAAGGAATTCTTAATGTCAGGAAACAAACTGAGGGGTGCTGGAGTGGGGGGTGGGGTGGGAGGGATGGGGTGACTGGGTGATAGACACTGGGGAGGGTATGTGCTCTGGTAAGCGCTGTGAATTGTGCAAGACTGTTGAATCTCAGATCTGTACCTCTGAAACAAATAATGCAATATATGTTAAGAAAAAAAAAGAAGAAGATAGCAGGAGGGGAAGAATGAAGGGGGGGAAATCGGAGGGGTAGACGAACCATGAGAGACGAGGGACTCTGAGAAACAAACTGAGGGTTCTAGAGGGGAGGGGGGTGGGAGGATGGGTTAGCCTGGTGATGGGTATTAAAGAGGGCATGTTCTGCATGGAGCACTGGGTGTTACGCACAAACAATGAATCATGGAACACTACATCTAAAACTAATGATGTAATGTATGGGGATTAACATAACAATAAAAAAATTTTAAAAAAAGAAGGTAAGGGGAGAGGCAAAAAAAAAAAGGGGGGGGGCAGCTCATCCTTGAGAGCACCCAGGCGAGGCGCCTGGACCTGAGGAGGCCTCCGCGCTTTCTCGCTGTGGCCGTGTACCCCCAGGGCCACGCTGCTGTGCCCAAGGTCGGTCTTGCCTTAACCGACGCTGGTCTCTGCCAGGAAGTAATAAAAGTAAAATGTTATCCCCTTTTGCTCTCAACCAGTATTCACGGCACTCCTTCTGTGGGTCACGCACTGGCCCACAGGCAGGGAAGGACGGGGGCCGCGTGGGACAGATCTGGACAGAGCGAAGCCTCCTGGCAGACGCAGGAGCCAGAAACGCCTGCGGGAACGTCGGCCACACGCCGCGCGGTAGGAAGCAGCTCTCCCGAGGAGTGGCATGCCCTCATGTGCGGCGTCTGCCCTTTCCATGGCCGAAAGGCTCCCGCTGTGGCCGGGTGTCAGCTGCCAGTGTGGATGCTGCCAATCCCAGGCTTAGGAAGAGTCGCACGCACGGAAGCAGGGCTGGAGAACGCCCGCCTGGAATGATTCCGGAACCTTCTGTAGCGCTGTCTTTTCTCACTAGGCCAAGCCACCAGTGATTTTCAGTCATACAGAAGGCCCCCCTCACCCGCAGCGTCGCTGTCCACCGCTTCGGTGACCCTCCAGCGATCCGCCACGGACCCGAAGCAGAGGACCCTCCTTCTGCTGCGGGGTCGGGTCCTTGTCGGGTCCCTGAGAGCCTAACGCCCTCAGGTCACGGTGCCTACGTCATTCACCATGAGGGCGTTTTATCATCTCATGTCCTTGCCAGAAGGTGAGTGTGGTAGATTCAGCTGTTTTGAGAGAGAGGCCACCGTTCCGTAACTTTACTACAAGTCTACGTTAGAGTTGTTCTATTTTGTTATAGGTTGTGTTGTTTATCTCGTACTGTGCCTAATTAGTACATTAAACTTGCTGTAGATGTGTGCATATAGGAGAGAACAGTCCTATAAAATCCCGCGCCTGCTGGGGGTCCCGGAGCAGATCCCCCGCGGAGAAGGGGGGAACAATGTGTTTAGGAACAAACTTTCTTTTTTTCCCCAAGGGAAATGTGCTGCCGAATACCAATACACAAAACACTAGACTGGAGGCATAAATGTCTCAGGAAGCCCCAGTCTCCCCGGTTTGGCAGAATATATTCTGTGCGTCGTGGAACTCGGGAGTAACCACCGAGCCCTCAGCTCTCCTGAACGTAGCTGGGAGACCAGGGCGTGAGCGGATTTAGGCGCTCGGCACAAAATGTCACTCAGTCCTACATACGTGTGTGCAGATATGTGAGAATGTGGTTGGTAATCGTTAAAGACTGGGTACCACCTAATGTCCTCCAACAGGGTAATGGTTAAATACAGGGACATCCATACAACATAGCACTTGGCAAGCGTCGGCAAGGTGCCCGGCGCGGTTCTGAGCCTTTCCATTCCTGACCTCATTTCTGCTTCCAACAGCTCTGTAAGGGAAGTACTGTGATTACCCACCTCTTACAGGCGATGCAACTGGGGCTCAGAGAGGTTAAGAGACTTGCCCAGGGACACACAGCCAGGATTCCAGTCTAGGTGGTCTGATGCTCTTCACAGTCGTACCAGTATGAAAGAGGGGACAGGTGCTGAGGGACAATCGTGAAGATGTCTCCAGTGGACACTGGAGAAAGCCAAGGTGCCAACCAACATGCACAGTGGGGTCACTTTTTATGTTTTTGAGAAGTCTTGTGAATGTGTAGACACATTCTATGAGCATGGAGGAAAGCACCGGAAGGCTGAGCTCTCAAAGAGACACACCAGTGACCTCCAGGAATTGGGGTTGGAGGAGGCACAGGTGGGAGGGCCTTTGTGTATGGTTTGAAAGTTACAGATGGGTCTAGGGTGGGCACGGGTTTGGCATTCCTAGGAAGCTCCCGGGGCAGATGCTCCTGTCAGTCTGGGACCCACTCTGAGTAAGGGTCCGTAACGTTCCCTGAGAGCCCGGGCTGTGGCAGGCTTTCTACGCCTGTTGTCCCATCTTTATGTGACCCCGTGTGACACGTAGTCCTCCCCTCGTACAGGTGTGGAGGCTGGGGCTCAGCGAAGCCGCTGGCCCCGCTCTCACCTCTGACAACGGTCACTTGTCCCGAGTGCCCACACTCAGGAACCACTGGTTGTGAACACCATGCTCTTTCAGCTGTCCAAACCTGGGAAGTGCAGATACTTCAGAAAAGTGACCTTCAGAAGTGACCTTACTGCCAGCCTTTTTGTTGTTGTTTTGACAGAGGGGAAATCTGAGACCCAGAAAGAGAGAGGCATGAGTCCAAGGTCACAGGGCGTTAAGGACGGGCGCCTCCAGGGTGCGGCGGACCAGGGGCAGTCTTTGGACAGACCTGGTTGCATGATCTGTTTATGGCAGGTTTGCTGAAAACGTTCTCTGCCAGACGGGTTTTGGAGCGGGGCTGGATGTTCCTAATAACAGCTCATCTTGGGGAGCACTTGCTACGAGTCTTCTTCTGAGGATCTCACCCTCCTGATGGCCCCATGGAGCTGAGGTTAAGGGAATTGCCCAAGGTCACCCAGAGGAAAAGAGACAGAGTGGGAACCTGAACCCAAGCAGTCCAGTCTGACTGCCTCCCATTTTGGAACACACTACAGAATTAGCCAAATGTCAGACCGCATCTGGGGAAATTCAAGGATCTACTTACAAGTGTCATTCCGATTTCTTTGTGCACAGGGACCCTGCGAGCACCATTGCCCTGGCCTTCGCAGATGACTGCGGAGAGCCCCCCACATCTGCTTGACCAAGACGGAGAAACCAGAGGACTTCTGAAAGCTCCTGCCTAACACTGGGGTCCTTAGCATCTTGGGTCTGTTCCCCGCGGACCCCAACGAAAAGAGGGTGATTTTCCTACTATCTGCTCTCGCTTTGATCGGGACGACCATGAGATGGGGTTGGCCCACCTCTTTTCGTAGAAACTCACCCAACCCCCTGATCTGGATGGTTAAATTTCAACCCATGCCTGCCCCAGCATTCTGGATGATGTTCAGTGTGGCTTAGGGGTGGGTGCTCTGGGACAAGTGGCCTTCGCTGTGGCCAGCCCCGGGGCTCACTGAGCTTTGATCTGGTAAACAGCAGAGCTTGCCAGGGGGTTAAGAGAACATTATGGAGAGCCCAGTGCCAGTACTGGAGAGAAGGTGAGAAGCAAATAGGAGAGAGAAAAGTGCCGTTCTTGGGTGTTGACCCCTCGGCTCTTCGGCCTCAGGCCACCCAAGGCCAGCCCGGCACCAGGCCACACTGTGTGTATGCATAGGGAATGAACAGCAGGTTCAAAAGTGCAGGGACAGGAGTTAGCCAAAGCGCTGCTGGGACGGAGGGGCAGGCAAGCAGGTGACCCCTTTCTGCCCGGGGCTCCTGGAAAAGCAGCCAGTGCTCGCTTGCCACAAATGGACATGATCTGATCCAGATTCGTTCTGCCTGCAGTAAGATGTCCTGGCTGGCGCGCTTGTCTCAGCATAAATATGGATGGTGCCCCTTTCACGCACAAGGTGTCCACACTGGGACAGAGAATCTGGTGGTCACCCTGAACGAACAACTGGTAATATTCTCGGATGCCAGATAACAAAAACACCCTACTCTGCACTAAACTGTAGTTTACTCCTCTGGACACTTTTGCCGTGAAATGGATACTTGAGGGTTCGTATGGAATGATTTTAATTTCTGTGTGTGTGGGGGGGGGTGGGGAGGTTTAAGCTTATAAACGTCAAAGGGTCAGGGACGTCATGACTTATCATAGAATCCTGGAATCTTAGATCTGCAAAGCCCCCTGGCCCCCAGAACAGGGGCTGTGAACCTTGGGTCCACGTGTGGGCTCCCGAGGACCCTGGGGGCCCCACGCTCAGACTGCTCTGCCGCCGAAGCCAGTTCTCTGCTGGCTCGTGAGTTTGACCGCCTTGCTTGCAAGCATCAAAACCCAGCTCTGGAGTATATGTGCGTTTCTTGCATGGGGTCATGTTAGACAGGTGCCCACCCTGGGGTGGCTTCATCCACTTATTCGTTCGTTTGTTCATTCGTTGACTCCTGGCTCAGTCTCCTCATCTGTATGGTAGGGAATAGCAGCAAAGGTTCTGTTGCGATCGTCAGGGTTCCACACGCTGATGCCCACGAAGCACTTAGGATACAGGCATTTCCATCCCCGCGCTGAGCTCAGTGCTCCAAGCCCTGGCTGAGCCCTGGCCGAACGTGGCTCCCCGGCGTCGGTGAGCCCGTCCGCGGCACCCCACAGGCCCCTGCGCTCTCAGCGGCATGTCCCTGGCCGTCCTCAGCTGCTCTGCCTTCTTCTCTGCCCTACTGGAGGTAGACTGCCCCGCTGGCTGTCCCCGTGGTTCTGGGGTCTCCCTGTCCCCCCTGCAGCCGCACGGCAGGGCTCTGCTTTATTGAGAGGATGTTGCAGGCCCTGGCGGTCCTGCACGTGCCCCCCAGCAGACCCAAACATCATTTCGATCACTATTACAGCACAAACTGAAATCTCTGCCACTGAAAGACATACAAAAGCCCTTTATATGCATGTGGTGGAAAATATTTGAAGCAGGTCCAAGGTGAAAAAGTGAGTCTCTGTCTTTCTCGGAGTGAACTGCTGATAGCAGTTTCTTGTGGCTCTTTCTGGAAATTTCCACAACAAAAAAAATCCTACATATATCTCACTATTTTTAATACAGGAGCTAATCATATCCCATATAAAGGGTATATATCTATAAATGTATAGTGTCACTTAATAATTATCATGAATAAGTTTTTGCACCTGTGTTTTTAAAATTTTTTTATTTTTTAAAAGATTTTATTTATTTATTTGACAGAGAGACACAGCGAGAGAGGGAACACAAGCAGGGGGAGTGGGAGAGGGAGAAGCAGGCTCCCCGCGGAGCAGGGAGCCCGATGTGGGGCTC